GAAACATTGCTTTACAAACCTTAACACTTAATACAAAAATTAGATATTTTGCGTATGAAAGCATTGTAATTTACGTAAATGAATTTACACACAATATTCATAATGGAATGTATTTACTCCAAACTTTAAAATGGTTCTCACGTTAGCAGTGGTGGTTTGTACTTCATAATGTCTATATCTTCACCCCACCCGAAACACAGAGAACAGTAAAAAGTAGGTTACTTTAGGTGTCTCAGTGTATTCATACACCAGTTTTAGTAATTGATATTACAAGTTTTGTACTTATAAAAAACTTTAGTAACAATTTGGGTGGCAGACAAAGCCTATATATTCTTTCAACTGAAAAACTCTGAAACAACTCCCAAATAAATAAAAAATAATTGAACATTATCAATCGCGTAAATATAACTGAATAGATAAAACTCGCTTTTTAGCTCCTTATATCTTGAAAAACAGTGAATAATCACAGAATCCTTAAATGTGCACCAACCCTTCATTTCTGCACGCATGTTTGCTTGCAAACTGTTCTTAAATTGATTTTTGTTGGTTGTTTCTAGTTTTAGTTTTCCGTTGATTCCAGTAACTGTAAAGCTAGCCTCCTTTCTGAACTTGATGAGAAGGTTCAGTTCCTCGTGTCTGTTTCTGTCACAAGCACACAGAAACTGTATGGATAGAAAAAGAGGCACGAGTTCTCTGTGCTTCATGCTGCAAGATCTCAACTCGACGAGTGATCAAGAATATGCTTGAGCATTTTGCTACAAGACTAGGCAGCGTTCTAGAAGCTTATGCTTGAGAAAACATATAAAATAAGGATATCAATATATATAAAAAGAAATCATATATTTATCCAAAATCTATAAGGAGGAATACTCCACCTCTTATGAGCTGCTTCAGAATGGGAAAACGGTAGAAGAGTAGTCTCAGTTAACTAGAGTCTGGGAATATGTCATTTCGTGTAAAATTCGAGTTTAAATGATTTGATAAGCAATAATGAGAAGATATATGAAAATAATTATATCACGAGGCAACATTAGCAGACATTTTTGAACGTTTTGTTGAAAGATTATTTGAAACCGTCAAATGTTCTTAAAAGTTTAGGCCTCAGAATCAGTTCTGGCTGTTTGGATCAAATAATATGCTTTGAAAATCGAGAAAAACTCATGAAAAGTTTCGAGTTCACAAGGCCATCATTTGTCTAAATAGTCGATCTATTCAGTTAATCTTCCATAACAGTAACAGACGTATCTTAAAGGAAATGAAAGACCGTAGAGTTGGAATATCAAGCCATGGTGTCCAAATCTCAATTTCGTTGATAAAGCTTCATATTGAAATATGATATATTATCTACGTGTTGTGTTCAAAATGTTTCATTTTTTCTTGTTCCTTACAGTCATTTTATATTGATGTAACTTTGAACCATACATAGTCTTCTTCATACTAATTTATTATTATGGATTATTTAGCAGATAAATTGTTTAAGTTTTTAATAAATAATTTTGAAGCCAATTTCTCATCCGATTTGTCACTTACCTGTGTATTATACCATTTTAATTTTCGAACTGGCAATGGAGGTGCTTGTCTCTTATGGCTGACATTGAAATGTTATAAAAATTTCATTTATATAAAAACTATACATTAGCTTCAAGTATAACTGAAGTAACATATGTGATTGAATGGAAAAGTGTATAACATAATCATTTTTTCCCTCTTCACAAAACAAGTAGATTTTGAACGTAAACATGCTCTGGCCCAGACTAATTCTTAACGTTTCAACTGTTATCCAACCACATCTTAAGCATTGTCCAAATCATAGACAAAACGCAGCTATGGATAAAGGTTGTGAAATATTTCTTCTTCTATTTGTGTTCACATAATATTAAAGAACGCTTTACTTAATTTGTTACAGGAGTTAAGGAATTCGAAATAAAAAAGTATTCAGATAATCTTATTTCGTGATGGTCAACTTAGTTATTCAGAAGTAAGTACCCTTATACTGATCTTATTGTACCACTCTCTGCTTTGTGGGGAAACATACAACAACTAATCAACTATTTCTCCGTTTCTCGGTGTTAATTTCCTATTGAACGCATTTTTGATACTCACTGATCAGTTGACATAAGTCTAGGAGAGACAGTTAGAAATTCTGAAATACATATCGCTCAATGACCTCTACAAAGATACTAGTATTATGAATATTCAAACAGAACGACGTCTCATGCAGCGTATGGGCCAAGTGATGTTTATATTGCATATAGCAGCGTTTTGTAAACCACTGAATATGAGTATTTAAAGTTCACGTATTTAAACTACCAAAACATTATATAACATTAAATAGGTATGATAAAAAACGTAATGAAACAAACATAAAAATAACGATATATTAATTATAACTATAGACTTAAATATAAATGATAAATCCAGAAATAACTGCATAAACAATTGTCACATTTACTGTAAGAATATTCATAAACAATATTATACCTATAAATAAAGTTTGAGCTAAAAATATATTTAAAATGCATAAAGCTAATCTATATGTCTATTCTACGTAAAGAACCAAAATAACAATATAGCTACGTATACACAACGTGGTCACAAGTAAATAGACGCCAACTTTTCAGAAAAAATGAAATTTTTCAGTCATATTCACATGAACTGATATATTTATAATTTAATTAATATCTAGTAGATCTTGCTTGGGGCATCGTGAGAATCATCTCGTCAGTTTTAGATTGTGGGATTTTCGCCCACTCTTGCTTCAAACTTGGAGTAGCTCGCTCTTCGAAGTTGGTTTTCTTGGTTGCTTCTTGATATGCCGGTCGAGTATGGCCCAGAGGTTTTCGATGGGGTTCATGTCAGGAGATTGGCTCGGCCAGGGCAACTTCTGGATACCATTTTCTTCCTGCCACTTTTGGGTGTTTCTAGTAGTGTGACACGGTGCTCCATCTTCCTGGAACAACGTTGTGTTCTTGTCCATGAAACCCGAGGAATAAAGTGGCAAGAGTCCTTCCTCCAATAGTTCGACGTATTCCGCAAAATTTATGTTGCCAACGCACTCCACTAAGCTCGATCTCCCACCAACCCAAACAGCTCCCAAAACCATCACGCTGAAACCACCAGGCTTCACAGTTGGCTGCAATCTGTTGTGCCAAAGCTCTTGATGAGGCATTCTCCAGACCCATATCCTTCCACTGTCCGAAAATTGAGCGAATCTTCATTCGTCTGAGAACAATACGGTCTTCCAAAAGTTCAGAGGCTTGGTCATCGTATCACTTGCCCACTTCTTTCGTCTGACTATGTTGGCAGGTCATAATAAGGGCTTCCGTGTAGCTGCTCTGCAACGATAACCCAATCTGTGGAGAATCCGTTGAACAAATTTTGGGCTCATCTCACCAGCTTTGGCCACTTCTGCAGTCATTAATCTGGGATCCATTTAGATGCTCCTCTTGACAGCCCTTTTTATCCTCTCCGATGGACCAGGACGACCCAGACGCTGCTCAGTTGTTTTCTTGCCGTGTTCCTGAACTGCACGATGATTCTGTTGACTGTCGAAAGCGGGATTTCCAAATTCTGCGAAATTTGTCGCTGACTTATTCCACCATCTGCTTGACCAACTATCC